CAACTCTGATCCCTCTTTACTCCAGTAGTGAAGCGTGGGAAGCTCAATTGAGCAGTTGAATGCGCAACCTCCGGGAAGCGGAATTCCGATGCGGAAGACGTCGACAGTCGACAAGTAGTATGAGGAGCGCGATGCTCTCGACGGTTAAATTGCTACTAATTACCGTCGACGCTTTCAGAGGGGATCATCAAATGTGAATCTAGTCGACGATCAATCGAGCCCGTAGGATTGAGAAACATTCCCTCATCTCACTGAAGCAGCTTACCTTTGCGAATTCGGTGTTGTCCTTCTGGGCCTGCACATGAAAAGGGCAGCCGAATATGTCGACCGCTCTTAACATCAAATGCGCCTTCCAGGCCAAGAGGCCGACTGACTCTTCAAATTAGCGCCATTTGTTTTCTGAAAAAAATGAGGAGATTAGACCAACTTGGCATCTAGTCGCCGAACGACCGTGAGCTTGCATAAGAGGCGGAATTATCACTGGTTTTGTTGGTACTGGAAATCGATTACCGAGTTACCGTCACTTACTGGAAGGCGTCATCACAGTTTTCTTTTTTCTCCGCGTAATTTCTGTAGCGCATGTCATGTGCATCGCAAGCGGTCTTGACGGGGGCCAACCGCAGCCATTTGCGAGTGCTGGATCCGTTGGGTCCCGAAATGAGATACTCGATCATTAAGAAGATGTCCGTTCCGCTCAGCTTCAACAATCTCGACGGAGAAAAAGAAGATCCGGCAGGGTTTGTCGAAGGAGTTACTTCCAAAGTAAAAGGAACCAAGGAGAGTAAGGCAGGTGGCGCCGCAGCGCTACCAGCTCAGAAATCCGATTGGCCGAATCAGAACCTTCTTTCTCGAGTGAATGCGCAATAGACCTGGTCCGTTCGTCACAGCTTCGTTTCCACATCCGCTACCGAAAAAGTGTACGCCACTTGACTGGCTCTGCCTTAAACTCTGGTCTCCACGACGGATGTCGACATGTACTCACCAGCACGTGAGCCCTCCGCTGCCCCGGCGGGCATTGCCTCGTGTACGGGCAACTTCTGAAAGATAAAGAAGGATTAGTATGACGTTCCAAATTTCGTACCCATGTGGCGCACACGAGATGCTTTCGCACCCTCGTCCGACGGAGCCTCGGACACGCCTGTCGATGAGCGATCAACCATCATTCGCCAGACTAGAGCATTCGCTGCGGTGTTTTCCATCCGGGATTGGACCTTGCGTGAATACGTCTGCCGGATGAATGGCTCCAAACGACATCGTGTAAGCCCCCGCGAGCTCCGACATCCGACTGACAATGAGTAGCATGTTCCACCAGCATCGCCCGAGCGCCATGAAAAACAGGCCGTGAAAAAAAGGCGTAAATTCCTAGAGCAGACCTCTTCGCTGTCGCTAGACCTA